GTACTTTGTTATGATCCTTTTTATTTCAGTTGTGTCTGTTGTAATGTCTCCCATTCCATTTCTTATTTGGGTTATTTGCATCCTCTTCTGTTTTTCTTTTGTCAGTTTGGCCAATGGTTTGTCTATTTTGTTGATACTTTCAAAGAACCAACTTTCAGTTTTGTTGATTCTTTCTATTGTTTTTCCATTCTCTATTTCATTTACTTCTGCTCTGGTCTTTATTATTTCCTCTCTTCTGATTGCTGTGGGCTTCTTTTGCTATTCTCTTTCTATTTGTTCAAGTTGTGTAGCTAATGTTTTGATTTTGCCCCGTTCTTCTTTTTTGATGTGTGCATCTATTGCTATACATCTGACCTCTGAGCACTGCCTTTGCTGTGTCCCAAAGGTTTTGGTATGATGTGCTTTCATTCTCGTTTGATTCTAGGAATTTTTTGATTCCATCTTTGACTTCTTCTATTATCCAGTGGTTTTTAAGCAGGGTGTTATTCAGTTTCCATGTAATTGATATTTTTTCCATGCTCTTCCTTTTATTAATTTATACTTTGATGGCGTTGTGGTCAGAGAAGAAATTTTGCATTATCTCAATGTTTTGGATTTTGTTGAAGGTTGCTTTGTGGCCTAGGATGTAGTCTATTCTGGAGAACATTCTATGTTCGTTGGAAAAGAATGTGTACTTACTGCTGTTGGGTAGAGTGTTCTGTATATGTCTATGAAGTCAAGTTGGTTGATTGTGTCCTCATTAATCATTAATCAATGATGCCTCAGGCCAATGCTTTTCAAACTTGAATGCGCACATGAATAAGCTAGGGATCTTGTTAAAAGGCAGATTCTGGTTCATTAGGCCTGGGGTGGGGCCTGAGATTCAGCATTTTTGACAAGCTCTCAGGTGATGCCAACGCAACTTGTCCATGGCTCACACTTGATGTTACAAAGTCCTGGTTGGCTCTGGGAAATGTTCTGACACTCGCGTCAGTAGGACTTTGGCTTCAACAGTTTGGATAATAATCAGGAATGTGTTTTATCTGAAATACTAATTGGAAGAATTCATGTCTGATTCTTTGGCTTTGGTAACTGTTCCATTTACCAAAACAGATGGCATATTCATTATTACATGTCATATCCCTAGTGCACATCTAGGAAACCCTTTTAAATAAGAGGTTTCAGGTATCTGAATGTCACCAAAGAGAAAAACTGTACAATTTAATGCTGTAATAAAATCTTCTTGTCTGCTGGGTAGACCCAGGCATAATCTGAAATTTGGATTCTGTCTCCTTCCCTTTCTCCCACATGCCCTTTCCCACTTGGATGTAGGAATAAATACTTCAAAAACAGGTCGATCATTTTGTGAACTCAAAGATGGCCCATCATGATACAAGTTCCAATTGAAAAAAAAAAAAAGTCCAAGTTGAATGCTGAGGAAAAGATATTAAAACCAACTCTTGGACAACCTTGAGAATGATCTGCAGTGCGACAGGAGGAACCAGTATTCAGTTGTCATTGGGTCAACTTGATTCATGGGACCTCATGTGTGTGAGAATAAAGCTGTGCTCCATAGGGTTTTCAATGGCTGATTTTTTTGGAAGCAGATGGTCAGGCCTTTCTTCTGAGGCATTTCTGGGTGGACTTGAACCTCCAACCTTTTGGTTAGCAGTCAAGCACGTTAACCATTTGCATTCCTTGACAGGTCAAAGATCCTTTAAAAAAGCACTTTCATGTTTATAGTCTCATTTGAATCTAGACAGGAAAGGGAAGAATGAACTAAGCGATGAGGAATGTAACTTCTCTGTCACTCCTCACCTGTTGTGAGCATGTCTGTACTGCAGTCTAGGTAATACATCCCAAATATATTCCATAGGTATGTTAAAAAGTATTTGTGCTGAAAAATGATTCTGAGATTAAATATATTTGGTGAGCTCAGGGTTAAACAAAGGTTAACAGGCCTGTAGACTACAGATCTTTTCAGAGACTTAATACTTTGACGTACTTTCAAGGGGGTCTGCTGGGCACAGGCTTCTTGAGTGATTTAACCATGGACCATGTTTTTTTAAGAACTATCTCTTGGGATAAGAGTTCGTCAGACTCAGTCTTGAGAAATGCCAGTCTAGGGGAGTTGGACCAGCATTTGTCTTTACTGACATTGAATTGACAGGATATAGTCATCTCTTATCCTCCACAAGATGGTGGAAATGGGTTTGGGTATATGTGTGAAGTCTCCAAAAATCTCTGTGGTTAGTAAAAACCCTTTCAGTAAGATGAAAATCTTTAAGAAAATAGAAATTTGGAGGGCAAACACACTAATGAAAACCACTAATATGTATTACTCAAGACATTAAATTTCCAAACAAACCAGATTTGTTGGTGTTCAAAATCTTCTGTAGGACTATTGGCAAGATTTGCCTTCTCTGTGCCTCAGATGCCTACTTCCCGGAGGGTGTAAGAGGACTAAACGAGACAATGCATGCAAAAGCACTGGGATGTAGTAAGAAGGCCATAAATGGTGGTTTTGTTCTCATTATTGTTATGACAAGTGTTTTTTTGGAAGTACTTATAGATAGTACTTTCCTTTGTTGTACAGGTTCTCAAGGAGGTGGTGATAGGTTCATATTGGGATCATCCGGGGCAACATTTTCAAAATATGTGTTCCCAGGCTCCTACTCAGTCCTGGTAAATCATAATTTAGTGATGGTGGTAGGAAGGGATGAATGTATATTTTTAAAGCTTCTCATGAAATTATGATACATCCTAAACCCCTGTCATGTATTTGCAGCAAATCCCAAAGGGGTTGTATCCCCATCTACTCCTGCAATAGTCCTGGGATATGTTCCTTGGAGTAAAAGATTTCTATGGTTAAATATGAAGTTCCTGGGTAGTATAAACATCCAGGTTGGAGGTTCAAGTCCACCCAGAGGTGCCTCAGAAGAAAGGCCTAGTGATCTACTTCCAAAACATCAGTCACTGAAAACCCTATGGAGCACGATTCTACTCTGACACACATGGGGTCACCATATGTTGGAATTGACTTGCTGGCAACTGGTTAATTGGTGGTTAAATGTTTAGAAATACTACATACTTAAACCTGCCCCCTCCCCTCTTTTGGAATTCACAAGGTACATGGGCTTATTAAAGTATCTGAGAAGTTTGGCAGTACACACATTTGAAAGCTTGTAACCAACTGTCTTCTGATCTTATTTGACCCTGAAATATTTATTTTTCTTGCAACTCTCATTAACATCTTTCAACCCATTTGGGAAATATGATTGTACAGAGTTAACCAGAAGTGAGTTCTACCCATATTCAGAGGTCTTTTGGCACTAAGAATGTAAGGGAGCGGCAAGGTAGCAAAGAGCAGCCAAAATTCCTCCTCTTCGGGAGCAGACTGAGCTAACTTTTATTCTTCCTGCCACCTGCTACTTATATGTGGAAAGAACACTGAAAATTATATTTAAATATGTGCTTTCAAATACGTGCCTCTGGGTGAACTCAAGGTAACCAAGGGCAGGGGAGATGTAGACTTCAAGGGCTGAGACTCTGGAAAAACTAGCTTTGAATTCTGGCTCCAACACTTCCTAGCTCAGTGACTGTGGACGAGTTACTTAACATCTCATTGCCGCAGTTTTCTTCTGTGTAAAATGGGGACAACAATACTACCTGTTTCACTGGGTTGTTATGAGGATAAACGAAATAATTATGTAAAACCCTTAGTAAGGGCTCAATAAAAGTTCTTTATTATTATAGAAATGGTAAAAAGCACTTGAGCAAGGTGAGGGGGGAGAATCAGGAACTGAAACAGAATGGAAAACCAAAAAAACCCAAACCCATTGCCGTCGAGTCAATTCTGACTCATAGCAACCCTAGGACAGAGTGGAACTGTCCCATAGGATTTCCAAGGAGCGCCTGGCGGATTGGAACTGCAAACCTTTTGGTTAGCAACCACAGCTCTTAACCACTACGCTGCCAGGGTTTCTGAAACAGAATAGAGAACCCTGGAAACCTTCAAGTTCAAATTAATCTCTTTCCCTTCACGTACGAATTTAACCCCCGCCCCTTTTTTAAAAATAAATCATCACGCCAAGTACCCTGTAAGAATGCAGAGTCAGAGTTTGAGAGTTTGAGAGAAGTTATTAAATTGGCTGGTCTATAGCACCGGAGTGTGAATGACCCTTTTGCCTGACTCTTCATTCTAGCCAAATCCCAAACTATCCGACTAGGTAATATACAAGAAACGGCTTGGCAGCTGCTGCCAACGACAAGAAGAAAAGTGGCTGGTTGAAACTCAACGACACTGAAATAACTGCCTGAGAGAGAGTAAAAAAGACTCAGGATTGTGATGAAGACATTTGGGATGGGGAGGCTAAAGGGGAGATTTATAAGCAAACACAAGCTTCTGGGCTCCCAGAACTTTTAAAAAAAATATATGAAATAGAACAGTCTAGAAAGTCTCAGAGTGCTTTGCATATAATAGGGCTAAGACTTCAGTTTTACACAATCACACACACATTTATAGGCACGTGTGTGCAAGTGTGTGTGTGTGTGTGTTGTGTGTTGTGTCTTTCTTATTGTAAGTTATGGTCAAAAATTTGAAAGCCTCTGCTCAAGAGGGCAGGCCACAGGGCTCTGAGCCCAGAAATAGATTGTTATTGCTGGTCTAGAATGACTGTGTGAACTTTGATCAGATCCTGCCCTGCCTTTTTCAAACACTTGGGTGATTTGGTGAATGTGGCAAGGACAGCAAAGGAGAGAAAACTTGGAGACAAAGCCCCATGTAGGAACTCTGAGTCATTAAGCAACTTAACTTTTCTTAGTCTCAGTTTCCTCATCAGTAATATGGGGATAATATCAATCTCAGAGTGTTACTTGAAAGATTAAATATATCTAAAGTGATTGGGAGAAGGAGCCATCCTCTACTTTCTCCATCTTCGGGGTTAAGTCCAATTTTCTGGTAGAGGTGGCTTTCTTCTTCCCTTTGTCCTCACCCCTGATGATCTGAGAAAGAGCCTTACCTGCTGGGAGAAGCCCTTCACGACACGCCTTTGTTTGAGGTTTGTCTCTCCATCCAAGTTGGCGGTTTCCAGGTGGCAGATCCCGCTGGGGTCGGAGGAAAAGAGGAGGAGGATGTCTGCTGGGATGATCTCATTGCATCGCATTTGGATGAAGTCTCCCACATGCACATCCTTCCAGTGCCTCTGCATGTAGCTCTGCTCTTTTCTTGGGTGAGAGAAGGAGAAGGGTCAGAGTGATCTTTAAGCTTCCTCAGAAAATCAGCAAGTGAATTGGGGAAGGGCCCACCTGCACCTAAATATCACTCAAGTCAGCCTGTCAGGAGGCTGCTCTGTATTCCCCCTTGCCCCAAATGACCACTGTAATAATCTCTCTAGAGAAGCTAGGTCTGATCTATGTTGTTGTAAGCTGTTGTGGAGTTGGCCCCTGACTCATGGCTATCCCATTCACAACAGGATCAGACTGTTGTGATCCATAGGGTTTTCACTGGATGATTTTTTGGAAGTAGATTGCCAGGTCTTTCTTCCTAGGCATAATTTATAGAATTCCACTATTAAAAGATCTGTCCTTATGGTTATTTAGAATTTTAATTGACTGCCAGCTGTTGACTGGGTACAGTGCTCAGAACTTGTTTCCTAGCAACATAAGTTTAAGGGAGAAGGTAACTATACCTGTCATATTAATAACCAGTTGCTGTCGAGTCAACTTTGACTCATGGAAACCCTCATGTGTGTCAGAGTAGAACTGTGCTCAGTAGGGTTTTTAATGGCTGATTTTTTGGAAGTAGATTGCCAGGCCTTTCTTCCGAGGTCTGTCTGGGTGAACTTGAACCTGCAACCATTTGCAACACCCGCAGACTCTATATATGTGGTATAATATATATTATTATTAATATAGTATTATTATAGTATATTATAGTATTATTAATATAGTATATATCATATAGTATTAATATAGTACCCTCAATATACATTATTTACCAGAATAGCCAGTTATCACCATAGAAAACAGGGTTGAGAGGAAGTGGGATATAGGAAAGTTTGCTTGCTATTATGGGGAGGAGAGTGGAAGTAGGAAAGGTGAGGATATAGGCCATTGTCTAGTAAGATCTGGAGCTGTGCTGAAATAGAAAACTCTGGGTAGTCAGGGAATATAGGAAGAAAGCATCAGGAACTTTGACAGTTGGGACCCACAGTAATTACAGAACCAGAGAACTGAAGAAATTGGAGGAAATTATTTCACTTTATCTTACTCTCCGATTTATCAAGCTCAGATAATAACGGTGGCGGCAACAATTGCGAATTTGGCATTTCTAACACGCCAAGCACTAGTGCTAATGAATATTTCATTTACTTGCATAATAACCCAGTAGAGTAGACATTATCATATCCATTTCACAAATGAGAAAATGGAGGGTCAAAGAAAACTTTCCCAAGGTCTCACAAAAAGAGTTGAACCCTGAGCCCAGGTCAGTTGGACACTGATTCCAAAGCCCACTGTTCTCACTCCTCCAATATCCTGCCTCCTCTAAAACATCCCTCCACCTCTCAAAACCTCCTCTCAGGAGGCATCACAGCCTCAGTTTTTCCAAGTCCAGTAAAAGAACTCACTACTTTCCAAGACAATACATTCCATTTTCAAAGAGCTCTCGTTTCAGAGAGTCTCCTTTCTGCTTAGCCAAATATTTAACTGGTTCTTTTCTCTTAGGCAAATCTGATCTATTCCATCTTCCACTATTCTCTAAGTAAGGTATTCATCAAGTCAAATTTAACTTTGCAGGTGTCCTTAATTATCCCTTGCGTAACACAGTTACAAGTTCTTTTCCCTGGAAGTGTGGGCTCTTCAGTCTCAAATGGCATTTGGAAATGTCTCTCTTTACATGCGGGATCTGGAACCAAACCAATATTCCACATTTGGTCTTTATTAACTGAGCTGGTTGCCTTTGAGCCCAGCTAGGCCTGGAAGAGCAGGTCCTCCTTTGCTGTTTTTCTCCACTGATGCTGAGGCCCTGTGGGCATGTTCTTGTTGCTGTTTCTGTTGGAATCTGAGCATCACTGCCTGGACACGACAAGTTCACTCTTCCACAGAGAAAGAGACGTGACTACAATTCCATTTTTCTCCTTTGATTTCACAAAAGTCCCTGAAGAGGTTGAGGGGTTTGGTCTCTTCCCTACGTTCTTGGGGTCTTCTGGAGAACCTCAGACAAGCCCTTCTAAGACCCCATATTTCTGGCCATCAAAGATCCCCAGAGAAGTCCTCCAGCCCCCTGCAATGAAGGTGCTTCCATGTGGAAGGCCAAGGAAAAATCTGAGCAGCATCTATAAAATAGTCAGGGACATTAGAATTGAGGAACAGCCATGCAAATCAAAAGAACCACAGGGTTCTGCGGACATGCCAATGGCTTTGGGGAGTGCAGTGCAGCAGCTGCTCATTCAATCAGTCCATGGGCAAGATCATCAAAATGGCTACTGAGACCACTTCTGAGTATTTCGGGGACCAATGTGTCTGTAGCGGTTTAGAAATAATTCTTCCTTACATGGAAAAGCATATAACAAGTTTCAAAGCACTTTTTTAATCCACCACTTATTCTATCCTTCAGCTCTGCCTGGTGTCATTTTGTAAACACATTTATCTGTTTGTTTATTCATGTGTTTAATGTGGCTACTCTTCCACCAGGAGTGTGGTTCTTACTGCCAGACCCTTCACAGTCTCTCTGCTGACCAGAGGAAGATTCTTTTTTTTTTTCTTCAGAGCAGCCCTAGGAACTCCTGTTAAACATCCAAGTATAAGGTTACTGAAAGGAATCAGAATGGTCCATTCTCTCTGTGGGAAAAGGAATTTCATAGGATGAAGGAGGGAATGGCTTTTTCTATTGCTCCTCCCCCACCCCTTTTTCTTTTTGAGAGGGTGCTTTAAAAAAAAGGAACCTTAACTATTACAGCAAAATTGTTCTAAGGAACAAAATTTGTCAATCTGCTTGTCTACACTCTTTCATTCTTTGACTTTTGTGCTCTATTGGACAATTCTCTTGGGGACGATGGGATATTGGTTAGAATATCAGCATTCCACCTAGTATTTGAAATTTGATTAGGGAGAACCCCCTTGGCCCCGAGCAATATCCTGTTTGCTAACATGTCCAGAGCAGCCTGATTCAGAAGGAGGTTTGCAAATGTTAGTTGGGATTGCTGCATACATAGACATATCAAAGGCAAGGCCAACATACTACTACTCATGACCATTGAATCTCATTTTTCTTCTTTCTAATAAAGGACCCCACTGCTTATTGTAGGATGTGGGTTATTAAGCTGATGGAAGATGGAGAGTTGTGGAAATGAGTTTATGGTACGTATATTTTTCTGAACAGTCACCCTAGTCACTGTTGGCTGGAGTGTTGTCTTGTCAATTCCCATTACAATCATGGGCATCACAAGGTCAACGCAGCCACTCAGGAAGCTGAAGTCAGACCAGTCTCTGTCTTCTTTGTAGTATTTCTTGGATCCCAGGAGACGATAACTGTACTGGTAAAAATTGCCTCTGTCTTTCTCTTAGAAGTAATTTTTTATGCGGTAGTGAAGGAACATTCCCAGTCACGATTGTAGGTTTACCTTCCCCAAGACAGAGCTTGACAACCCCTGGGGTTGAGCTTCTCAGACAGAGGCTCATATGCCTCCAGGATTCCCTGTTGTTTGCCCAAAGTAACAAAACTATGAGATTGACATGATTTTGTAGTGTTAGTTTTACCAACAGATTTCTTTGGAGGGGGTGGCATGGTTTAGTAATTTAACTAGTACATAACAGAATGCTCCTTAAAAGCAAGGATGGCAAGACTTTGGCTCGCTTACTTTGGAGACTTCATCAGGAAAGACTAATCTCCAGAAAAGGACATTATGGTTGGTAAAGCAGAGGGTCAGTAAAAACAAGGGAAACTCTCAATGACACAACAGCCACAACAAGGGACTCAGACATACCGACGATCATAAAAATGGCGCAGATCTGGGCAACATTTTGTTCTGCTGTGCATGAGGTCATCATGAGTTGGAACCAACTTGAGGACAGCTAACAACAACAACAGCAATTTGAAGAATTATATTTATATCGACCCAAACATAGTTTTGTTATGGGATCAGAGGGAAATGTTTGGAATTTTACGGATAAACAAATGTGACATCAGGGACATTTTCCTCTTGCATGGGGCCACTCTATGCTGGTCCCTGATCACCTGGGGCCCATTCTTTCTCCTCAACTGAGAGGAGCACGTCTGTGGAAATGTTATGGTCACACAGCCGTAGGGGGTCCAGCCGGAGAGGCGATAAGTGGCCTAATCCAGCTGAAGCGGAAAAGTGGCATGCCTTGCACTGAGTCATGCCCAGATGCGGCCGGCAGCTGGCCAGGAACTGCTTGTGGAAGTCATTCTCTCATTAATCCAGCACTTTTGGAATAGCTGCCCCAGGTGGGCGCGTCCACACTCTCTTGATCATCCCCCAGCATAGTGAGTCCCCACCTGGGAATTGACTGCTATTTTAATTCCATGCAATGTTCAACGCCATTTAAAAATAAGACAAATCAACGTGGCTTGGGACTAAGACTCCATCTGGCAGATTCTGCCTTGAGGAGAAATTAAGTGGTGCAGTGCTAAACGGCTTTCTGAGAGGAGATAGGCCTTATTAAGCGGTAAATAAACAGCAAGAGATATTTGTAACCAACTGGATGCTGTGGGGAAGCAGGTGAAAAGGGGAAATAGAGGGGCAGAGGATGCTTAAGCCTCCATTTCTCAAGTATCTGGATCTCATCAAAAAGATTTCAGGAAGCTGGAGTCAAGGGGATTTTCCAGGGGGATTTGTTGTCTTTTGGGGCTTCCTATTAAAAATAAAATGATGAGCTGACTTGGGCTGTGCTTCAGAAAGCCTGAGCACCAGGCTCAGAGTGAGAAGGGAGGGCCAGGAAAAATGAGTGCCAGTAGGAATTAAGAGTGGAGTTGAATAAATCTGAGCTTCACCACTTAGTAGTACCTGTGTGATCTTGTGACTTAACCTCTCAAACCTTCTGTTTCTTCACCTGTCAGTTGGAGGTAATATTTGCACTTGCCTCAGAGGGTTGTTGAAAGGAATGGTGACATGGCCTGTGTAAGGAACTGAGCTCAGGCCTTTGCATAGTAAGAACTCAATCAATACAAGCTTCCTTTATGAGGACCTTGATGATGATGATTG